CACCTATCTGCATGTGCCTTCCTATATACTTCCTGAAAAGGAACCATAGATATTCCAGGTTCCTGTATTGCACAGTCTGTTTAATCTAGAATTTCTTATTTCCTGCTCTGTTAGTAGCATCCTAGACCCTGCATGAACCAACTGTGTGTGATTAAAGTTCAATTTACAGAGCAGGAGATACAAACTTCTAAAGTAAATTAACATCTGATTGAAAATGAAATCCTTTTTTTTCCATGCATGCTGTGTGAGTCATAGTCAAAAGGTGTAGTTAGGGCTGCATAAACAGAACCTAATGTGATTTAACTCATAAATGGCAGTGAATTTAACAGTGAGACTACAGGGACGTTATCTATATATGCAAATGCTTAATTAAGCTAAAGATGTTTTGATGTCTATAGTATCTCTTTAAGGCTGTGAAATCCATCAGGTTTTATTGAACAAGTCACTTCTGCATGAGGCTGGGAAGCATATGAAAAGTTTAACCATGAAGTATGTTGAATTAATATGGTAAAAGAGTGAATGCAGTTCTTTAAAGGAACATTATAGCATTGTGAATAGAAATGTGTATTCCAAATACACAATATAGGGTCTTCCTAACTATGTAGATTATTGGGCCACTCTGCAAGGGTAAAAAATATGTCTGAGTGACAGCCATTAGTGGCATTACTAGGCAACACTGCAAACACTTTATTTACATTACTGAACCTGCAAGGATTTGCAATAGACACCAGAACCACTGCATTAAGCAGTAGTGGTTCTGCTGACTATAGTGTCCCTTACAACAAAATCCATAAAAAGCTAACGTTTGGTGAATAAACCCATGTGACAATAAAGTTAACTACACCAAAAAAATAGAAGGCAATATCATTAACCTAATATAGCAGGATTGCTTTTTTTGTGACAATTATCTTTATTTGTGTATTCTGTCAAATAATGATGTAGCACTTCTCACCAACGCACATTCATCAAGACATTAATTCACTACAGGATTGTCACTAAATCAGGTTTTGTTTGTGAACAGAATAGGGGATTTCTAATTTGAGGTCAAAATATTCACACTGGAAATATTCTCAAAATTTTTCCGGCTCAGCTGAATTCAACAGTCAGCTCACCACACTTCTTGGTTTTGACTAACTTTGCAAGTGACAAATTTGAGGTCAGAACACAAAAAACGTGGTTGTCAACTCTACCCAGTTTACTGTGTAATGTATAAACCCTCACGATTAACAAAATGATCTGCAAACATCCACTTCCTCCTCTGCTAACTTATGGCACATTTAAAGCCATACATTTTAAAATAAGAGATTGATGAATCACCGCCATAGAAAGACACCACCTGAAGGTATTACAACAATTACCAAACATTCATTTGACTTAAAATGGTCAGAAGGTCAGAAGCAGCATGATTTAAAGTCACTAGGTCAGAGGTGGCCAACCAGTCGTTATTAGGCTACTGGTAAAGAACCAAGTCATGTCAGTTATTAGTCTATTTCATATGGAGAATACATGTTAACCAAAAATTTCCAGCATGTTCTTTGGGAAAGATAGATTACACCGAACAGTTGTTCCTTCCAAAACCAGACAAATCTACAATATTATTTTACATATTCCAGTCCACCATAAATATTAAAAAAGTACAGATAGATAACAGCTGGAATCCCAAATATCATGAACTATAGGTCCCTAAATAGGAAATTGTTAAGGATTTAAGAAGAAATTGGAGACAAAAGGCTAAAATTATTGGGGAGAAAAGATTTCATTTTTCTAACTTGGCTCTAGTGCAATTGCACTGACAGCTCTCCGGAATTCTAAGTTTACCAATTAAGCACTATATGAGTTCTATATTCATTTTTCAATAATGAGGCTGCCATTAATAACAATGGACTCTTTAAAACTATGGGGATAAGTATCAGGGTGTCAATATGGATAAACAGCTGAAGATTACATTTTGTTGATTTCCATGGTGACTGGTCCATATTAGCACTTTGCCCCAGAATATGAACTGTTTTTGCCTTAATAAAGTTCCCCATTCAAACTCAGCACTTAGATTTGAGATAGAATAAAAACTTAATGTCTTAATTATTTCCTTCTAAGGTTCAGACATTATGGAGATTAGTTACTAGTACAGTTTTAAATATGTTTTGGAAATCTAGACATAGCGGAAACGGATGTTGTAGGGAAATTAAGCCATCAAGGGGGTTTCGGCAGTTTTTGCAGAAAGTTAAAAAGTTTAAAAATTCTCCAGAACCTTAAGATAATATTATTTCTCAATAATGTATGGGTAACATTTTTTTTATATCATTATATTATAAGATTTGAGAATAAGCACCTGTTTGTCTATACAGTCTTTAAATAGCTAACGAGCAGTTTCACACGAAGTCTTAAAAAATGTACATATCTTTTTCACTATTTTTCTCAATGGTGTGCTACTGAGAGCATGTCAGCAGCACCCAGTCCAAGGCTCCCTGATTGAAGCCTCGGTCATTGAGCTAAAGTTCTGGGACAGAGAGTTTGGCACTTGATTGAAGACTTTGATGTTAAGCCAAACTATTTAACCACTTTAGGTAAGCCGCTGTTTGGGACCTCCTCACCATAACAACTTCATGCTGATAAAGCTTTTATGGTGCCCAGAGTGGTCATTTAACTGATAAGAGCTATATTAACACACATTGCTGCAAACTTTTCCACTGAAGTTCCCCACCACCCTTTCATGTAAACTGTATTATCTGCCAATGCAAAGTTGGTAAAACTCAGGCAATCAGACATAGAACAATAACTATAATGGATCTTTGAGCATTGTGAAAAATTCAAATGGTACTCTTGCAACCTCTTTAATAATATCTCACCTATTTACCAAAAACCATTTGCGGTGCAGCACCTGAAATTGTTTTCTATTGGTTCCCTACATATAATTTAGTTGTGATAAATTGGTTTTAATCTATGTCTTCTTAGTATAGGCATTCATGATGCCATTGAGACTGTCCCAAGAAGTTAATATACAAAAACGTTAAAGAAAAATATCAATTTAATTTAAACATCATGTAGGCCCTTTTTATACCTCTTTGCTAATGTTGACTCCATAGACATGGAATATGTTTAATGCTCACTATGAATGTGCTGGGTTCTCGTGAAAGTAGGATAGCAGTCAACAATACAAAATACACCAGCAGGTCAGGATTTAAGCATTTCCTCAACTGTGTTGCAATGGGGAAACTGACAAAACCCGAGCCACTATTGAGCTATTAAGTTCTGCCCTGAAGTATATAGAATTCATATGCTGCAGGATTCCCTATCTTCTGCAGGTCAACCATTTGTAAAAGTAATGTGTACAGAAAACATGGAGAGTTAGGTAACCCTACGTGGAAAAAGCGGTTCCCAATCCCAACACAGCCCTCAAAAAACACAGTCCTTGACTTATAGTGTGCCTCGATGACCAACATGGAGACAGTGAGGTATTTAAATGCTGATATTCCTAGTACCTCTATACCTAATAACTTACTTTTATGCTGTGCATGAAGAACACTTATGGTAAATCAATCATCAGCAATATTTCATTGGTTCCCATGATGATTGGCGCAGTTTGCAAACTCTGATTGACTGTTGTGATTAGTTCCTTGGAAACAGCAGCTTGATTACTGGAGCCAGCTGTGTGCATTCCTTAGATCATCATACAAACAGGTCACTTACATCCTATAATATTGCTGATGACTGTTATTTCTTACTTAGAGTATCCACAAAGCCTGTACCCAAAATGGTAATGGAGGTGGGTACTGTCTCTGGCGACCTAGATAAGTAGTTAAATTGTTCAAAAATGGTTTGACTACTTACAATGGGGGGGTTGTCACGGCACTCACAGAACCATAACCACTACAGTGTACGACAGTGGTCATGGTGTTTGGAGTATTCCTTTAAATGACACACCAAACAAAAAAAAAACAAACAAAAAAAAAGATTTCTGTGTACTTTAGTAAAATAGCTACCATAGCTTTATTAAAAACTTTATTATGTCTTCCATACATTGACTCATTGTAACATACTAGTAAAAACACAATTTCATAAAACAATTTCTAACCTTTTTATTGTTACCATAAAACTGTTTTGCAATACGTAAACACTTTCACTAATTTTGGAGGCATTAAACATCACAGAGGTATCTACTTCAAAAACATTTTATAAAACATTTTAAATTGGTGCTTCGGTGAATTCGAGTGAAGGAAGCAGAGTTAATGAAGCCACAAGAATTTATGGGGCAAAAGTCACTAGAATAAGGAGAACATTCATAACTGCATTTCACACATTTTCGCAACAGTTCCACTGTGTATTTGACAATCTGTGTGACTAGCATATACTGCACGTGATAGCCAATTTAATTAACTCTTAAGTGCCATTCGCCTGCACTGAAATTTTTCAAATATATATCTTTTCCCTGGTTTGGAAGTTGGACTAAAACATCAGGATTAATCACATCCGATGCCCAGGTACCCATACCTTTGCCCCATGCCAGTCTGTGCAGTTTAAGTGCAAACCTCCACCAATTATTCAAGCACATCCCTGCAGCTGTTATCAGTGTTGCTGTTAGTTTTACAGGGATGGGACAGGAGGAGCACATTCCCAAAATTACATCAAATGCAAAAATCAAAATACAAATAAAATCTGTTGCATTATTTGGAGAGAATAAATAGTGTGCTAGAACTTCCTCCCTTTTTTCAGCCAGGTATCACCCAATCCAATAGATAGATTTTTCTCCCAGGCTGAGCTAATCACTATCAATGCCAATGTCATATGCTAGAGAATCCACCAACAGAGTCCAAAAATTAGCAATCTCATCGCTGGCAGCCAGCCAAGTCTGTATATATAAAAAATAAATAAAAAAAATGAAAAAGAGCTGAGCTTGCCCACTCCTGACAATGACAGTGGCTGCTGGGGTAAGGGGTGGGGGGGATGGACTTACCCCCTCCATCACCTGACGTCACATTTGGAATGTCTGGTCCAATGGAATGCTGCACTCTGCTTTATAAAAGGACCGGTTCACAGGGCTCCCCACTACCTCTGCACACTCAGAGCATCTTACTGGCAGGTCATCATGGTGGATCACTTCATTGGCACTTGGAAGCTGTGTGACAGCCAGGGCTTCGATGAGTACATGCAGAGCCTAGGTAAGGAGCAGCAGGGGGTTAATTTACTGTGTAATTAGGCAGTTTCTACTCCCCTGTGGCAGGTCCTAAATTGAGATTTTAAGCAATCAGTGGAAAAATGTACAGTTTGTGGCTGGCTGAGCATCGTTAGATGTGTAGTCCACAAGGTTTGTTTTTTTATTCTGTATGTGGAGCTAAAATTTAAATTAAAAAAAAAAAAAAATTAACATGTTTAACAGTGCTCACAGAAGATTCAGCTTTAATGGTAAACATGGATTTATTTTTATTTTTTTATGCTCCATTCCTCTTCTGTGTGATCCGGGAAGCCTTACTTTGCCCATAAGAGTATCCTCTGGCATCACTTAACCTTCTGTTTCCACAGCTAACATTGTATCATGACTTCTAGCTGTTGCTACATTCCTCCAGTAGATGAGATGAACTGATTCGGGCTGAAAGTGGATTCTGATCTCATTGGAGCCATCATGTAATTAAACCTACATTGTATTAACCTGGGAAGCTCGCTTGGATCAGGTTGAAATCCTGCTCTGGCACTGAAAGAGTTATATTTGTATCCTGTCTAGTTAATAGTAATCGTGGGAGCACATGTAGAGGATCTAAGGCACCCAGTTTATCCCACTAGCAGAGAGGCTGCATCCATGCAAACTGAGAGCTTCAATTCCATTCAAATACAAATTTCTGGATCAGCTCTCCATCCTCTAAAACCTGATTCTTGTAGTGATGACTTTGTGTTCCCCAAAATCTGAATCTTCTCCCCAACTCCTGTTGAGTGTTGCTGCATCACCCCATCCCCACTCAAATATGAGTAGAGCTGTATTTGGTTCACAATTAAATAAGCATTATCAATGATAGAAGTCTTAAAGTGCATGTGACTATTTCTTGCCTTTTGATGGGATTTAGAACTGTATTTAAACTGAATATAAAGTGAGTTTAACTTGAAATTTAAAGTAACTCCACTGCCGGAATAAACACCAATTAAAAAAATCACTATTTAATAGATATACCCCAATCTAACTCATTTAATAATGCATTTTTCATTGAGGGGAAACTCCATTAATCAATGAGATTTTTGCAAAGCAGGTGGTCTGAGGACCTGTCTGACTCCTGAATTTGTAGCTCCACTGAGCTAAACAAACCAGGAGGTGCTGTCCCATGGAAAGTCAGGGGGTGTAACAAGGTTAACTTTTAAAGTGACCGTTTCTATTGAAATCTTTACTTTTGTCAAATGAGAGGTGAAAGGACACATTCAGACACAAAGAATATAAGCAAGCTAAAGTGCTTTAGGTTCTGGAGTGTTCCTCGAAGGCCTAAGTAGCCAAACTAAAGCATAACTTTAGATTGGCTACCTTGACCTATGAGGGACACTCCGACCTGTAAAGCACTTTAGCTTGCTGAGGGAATATTTCCAGTCTGGATATGTTATCTTAAATTTGAAAGTCACTTTGAATTCTGACAATTGCCACTTCAGAGAGAACCTCGAAGAGAAATACTGCCTTATGTTTGTGTTCATTAATGGATTCTATTCACTGAAATAGATAAAATCTATAACTTTACTTGGGAATTGGAACATTTTGATTAAAATATTCAAATTGAGGGGAAGACATATAAATTGTTGGACATGATAGTTTTGGAAAAATACCGATTGGTTAATTTATAAAATCACCTCAACTGAAATATGCTTAAATGAGTGGGGAGCTTCCTATCTCATCTGCTGTGTTTGCGTCTCTGTAGTCACATTCCTACAAAGGCTTACTAAATCCAGATCGCTGTACGCTCAGTCTGCCCACTGAAATGCTGAGTGGACAGATTGTGTGGTGTTTTTTTGTGGGTTTTTTGTCTTCTCCTTCTTCTATTTATAGAGCATTTAATACAAACTATTTAAGGCAGGTCTGGGATGTTTAGTAGGACCAATCCTATATTGTAGAAATAAATTGATGGCAATAACTATCATTTTTTATTTTTATGGTTTTAAATTAACTATACAGGGATTAATTTAGTGAACTGGAAAAACATGGTTATTGTTAACCTTGGGCTAAGAGTGGAAACTTCTCAAACTTTATTTTCCAGTTTGGTTTATTCATATTTTAACAATAGGATCATGAGTAATTGACTAGTGTTATGTGAATGCCTAATAGACTAATGTACGGTGGGACTGTTCAGTTTGGCTGAAACTTTATCATTTTTTTTTTTTTCAAATTTTTTTATTTTTGTTCATGTGACCATTCAGCTTCGCTTAATGCCATTCATTACACATTTGGGGAAACATTCAGATGAACCAAAAAGTGCCAAAAGAAAATTGGCCAACCAGTTTAATCCAAAGTGCATAACCTAAAATAAATGCATAGAAATATTATGTAACCCTTTTACTGTACAGTACACTGATCAGTGTATTTTCATGCCATTTGATTCAAACCTAAGAGTGAATAAGATGTTCTATCTATAGAGTGTATATTAGTAAAAAAAGAATTTGTTAGGTTATAGTATATTCTATCCTTTATTTCTCTTTACGTCAAATCCAGAACCTTGACTATCGAATCCCGCTAACCTTTTATGGCCATCCTACTAGTTTGCTCAGGTGTAAGTGCATGGTGATATGGAATTTGCCTGAACTCACAATTTCTGCAAAATCCAAATACTCTATTCTGAATACTAAATCTTGGTTTGGGTTTAGATGGCTGCCCCAATAGATCAAGGATAAGCTTAAAGAAACACTGAACTTGGATATTTGCTTATTTGTACAACCAAATACAGAGGCTTTAATGCATGCGTGCTATTATTTTAAGAACAGAAAAGTGGTGTGTGTGGTTTTATTTTTTTTATTTTTTTTTTTATAGAAGAAACCTCCAAGCACCATAACCAGTACATCATGTTTTCTTGTCTATGGTGCCGGGAGTCTGGCATTGTCCCACTGGAAGTTGTGAAACAATTTTAGTTTGGTTTGACTTGACTGGGTTCTGCCAGGAAACTGAAATAGGGTTGTACATGTAAAGGCACTTCAAAAATCTGTTTAGCTTATTCTTTAGATGATTTAATTATGCGCTTAAACAATAGAGATGCCATTTAATTCCCTTACAGGATGTTGTATGTGTAATAGTGGACGCTTAACAAAAAACAAACGTATAGCTTACTCTAAAACTAAATTAAGTTAATTGATGCACAGCAAGAAAATCCCAAATGTTGAATTTTTTTTGTTGTTGTGAAAAGTACAAAATACAAAAGGTGTGTTTGTATAATATATATTTATTCACAATACAGTGCAGTTCAAATGTGTGCATATATACAGAACACTATTGTGTAATATGAAAGGAAGACTTTTTTTTAAACTTAATTACAGTTAAAAAAAAGTGCAACTCTATAAAATGCATATAGCCAAAATTCAGTATTTAATAGTAGTTGTCACACGCAGTGATACTTGGCTACCAATATCATCTTCCTAAAAGTATTATAGAACATCACACTTTATGTAATATGATTAAAAATGCTGACTCTCATAAATGGAGATATTGGCTCTGGTTTTGCAGCTTTTGGGTCTTATCTAGGCAACTCTTTCCTTCCCACAGAATTTGTCTTCTTTATAGAATGACTATATATTAAAGCAAAAGAGAAGGAAATATGATGAAGTACATCCGGGAAAAATTGTTGAAAAATGACAACCTTGTTTCACTCACGTGTTCTGGAGCTTTTCATGGCAGGCTCTATATGTGCAAGAGGCTATTAGGGTGACACAACCCCTTTCGTAGTAATATTGGAGATCTCCTCAGTTACAAAGTAATCTGTTTTGTGTTATTTGTTAAGGGACAAATGTAAAAACAAAGAATCACTGCATGTGAGACCAGATGTGACACAACTGTACTATTGAATACTGTACTTTGGCTACAGGCACTTTATAGAGTTGCACTTCATTAACTGTAAAAACAAGGCAATTTCTGCACACGACTGACTTTTATATTGCTCAATAGCTTTCTATCTGTATGCACTTATTTGAACAGCAGTGTAATTGTGAAACAAGATCTTTTAGTGAATTTGCATACACAATTTTTATTTTATTTTATATATAAAGTAAAAAAGCACTTTTAAAGGGAAACTCCAGTGCCAGGAATACAATCGGTTTATACAAACCAATCAGCAATCTGCTGGCTAGTTATGTTAAATGGTCTCCATATTCATTTCTCGTCTGCAGAACAAACAGTCCAGACATTGTGTAAATTCACTTTATAAAATGCATGTTTGCATAAACCTCTATTCTTGTCTTGCAGGGGTTGGCTTTGCCACTAGGAAAGCCGGTGCTATGGCAAAGCCCAATGTAATTATAACGAAGAATGGTGATGAGATCTGCCTAAAGACCGAAAGCACCTTAAAAACAACTGAGATGAAATTCAGACTGGGGGAAGAATTTGATGAGACCACAGCAGATAACAGGAGAACAAAGGTGGGATATTTGCATTGGTTAAATATCACTGTCTCAGGGCTCAAAGTATTATGACAAAAAAATGTACTTCACAAGAAGAGACAACTGCACTCATTCAGGGAACCACAGAGCAATTACCTGAACCATGCAAATCCCTTACATATAGCGCATTGAAGAAGCTTCAAACGCTCACTGGGTTCAAATATAAGGCAGTCTTATTGGACATCACATACACTGCAACATTTCGAGCTTAATATGTTGCTGTGTAATTAAGTTAAAGTACTTTAATCTATAGTGTTCCTTCTGCTAATACAGTGCAAGTGAAGATCCCTCCCTAACGAGAAACACTTTTACTCAGCAATCTGGTTTAAGTAGTGGTTTTTATTTAATTTTCTTTTCCCCTATGCCTTATGCCCAGCAGGGTATATGGGATATGTAGCTGATCTCCATGCATAGGGTGGGTGTAATGGCTCATTACTCTGCAAATGGTGATAACCTCTTTATGTGCAGCAAGTTCTAGTCTTCACCAATAACTCCATTTTCCTGTCAGTGCATGGAGGTAGTCTAACCTGGCGCTGCACCCTCTTGCAAGAGAGGGAAATGGGACAAAAGTTTCGCTCAAAAGAGCAGTGGTGTTGCCAAGCCGCACTAACGATCACTACCAGTCTGAATACTAAACTGGGCAGAGCAGTAAGTTCAACTATGCAGGACTTGTGCCCAGCAACTAACCATCCCAATTAAGACACAGTGAAACTCTGTGCCTGCCCCTCAAGCAAGTCCAATGCTAAAAACCTGCAGAGTCTGGCAGGCTGGAATGGCCCACAATAAGGTATGCCAAAGTATCCACTTCGTTGCACTCCTCTCCAAGAAGACAGCCCCTTAATGTTAAATGTCCACTAAAGTTTGTAAGTTTTTATAATGTAGTGTTTGTTTTTTTATTTTTTGTAACCCCCTCTCGTATAGGTATAAAACTAGTATCTTAGATGGCCATGTAGCACTAGATGCATGTAAAACCATACTGTCAGTGTTCTTTAGGAATATAAGAACTGCGTGTTATGTTCTGCTGTGTATTGAATGCTTAACCAAGCATTGCATTTCAAGACTTGACAGTCACATGTGATTGCCACAGATCCTGGAGTCTTACTGTAAAAGTAAAACTCTTCTATGTTTGAACATCGTTAAACGTGTTGTGACACTGCATTTTGCAGAAACATGTTTTTGCTGTAAAAAGCATATTCTAACAAATACGTAATGTTGGAAAACCTATAGATTCTACTTAACAGCCATCTTGGTTTTCTCGATCCAGTGGTAGCAGCAGGACATAAGCTCTCCCTGAAAATTGTCTGCACTGTAGCGGCTGTTAACAAGGCTCAACTTACCTGCATCTAGGCTGTTAAAAATATTGCCAGCCCCCATTTAGGAAGCGTCTATAAATATCAGGAGGAGTATTTCACTTTTTTGTTTTGTTCACGCAGCCAAGCTGCATTTCATGTATGATCGATCACACGCTCAACTGTCTGTAGGAATTTGTAATGCATATCCATACCTCCCAAATTAATTTGTTCTGCTTTTCTATTCTGATGTCCCTCTGATCTGTGAGCTCTGAGTGTATAACTGAGCTCCACAGCAAATGACTCATGATAACCTTAGAAATCTGTCTGCGTAACGATGTCGTCTTGTTCTAAATTACGTTAAATGCATTTGTTTTTATTAGTAAGTTGCCTAAAATTCCTCACAACAGACCTGCCCCAGACACCCTTCCGTCATACTAAATGTAGGACTGACTTTATTTATTTTATTTTTTTTAAATAAATAAATTCAAAGTTCAATTTAATTTTTTTTTTTCCTAGGTGTTTAGGATATTAAAAGTGGCAATGCTTGTTGATGTCTCTTAAGGTTAATTTTAAGTTGTAATTTTGTCTTTTCTCCCCCCTCAAGACACTTATCACTTGTGATGATGGAGTACTAACTCAGGTGCAGAAATGGGATGGCAAAGAGACTACAATCCGAAGGGAGCTGAAAGATGGACAAATGTTGGTGGTGAGTGGCACCATATGTTGAGAAGTTGCATGTTACTGGACCTACTCAAACTTTCTTACTCAAAATATAAATATAACCAAAATATGCTTAATCAGTGGTTGTGTGATTTGGTCAGCAGACTAACTCCTAGGCTTCAAACACTTGCTGTAAATACACCTGCCTGTTCTCAGGCACAATGTTTTATTTTTACAGCAAAAAATGTCCCTATGACAAGCCATGAGAATGTATACATGTCTTAGTGGTGGTGTCTGTGGGCATGTGATCTGCTCCTGTGGGATTTATCTTTCTCTAGTTCTGAGAAGTTAAAGTGAAAGGAACATTCTGATGCTCTGTGATTTTGTGCCTTTTAATAAACTATTCTTCCTCCTTTCAGACCTGCACCATAGGAGATGTGAAGTGTGTCAGACTGTACGACAAGGTGAAGGCATAACATTCTGTCTCCAAACCAGATTGAAGCTACAGAAGAACAGCTCAGTTCAATGAGCCATGCTCAACTATTCTAATGCCAGCTTCATATCCACTTTATTAATCTGATTTAATCTGTGAAATTTTATACTGAAGCAATGGTGTCCTCCATCTAAATTGCTGTGAATCTGAAATAAAACTTTCACCCCCAAATTATGGTGGAAAATCTTATTCAATGGACATCACTTGTTATACCTGACTATTTGCCTAAGATAGCTTCTTAATTTCACCATACTTCTGATCTTGACAGCTGTATAACCCAAGTTGCATACAGAAAACTGCCTTCAATGGAATTACAGAATAATCTCTTCAAAGGTTGCGCCAAGTGTCCAAACTCACTGGGTACTATCTGATCCAAATGGAATGCAAGCAAAATGTGGTGTTCTCCTATGGAATATTCATTTTATGGGTATTCAATATTTTATCTCCCCTCTCCCATCCAGTGCGAAGATGTGTACTTGTTAAATGGTGTTATCATGTTGACGTTTTAGATGAAATGGCAGAATTGGGGAAAAATCATTACTTTGATGTTCTACTGCATGTTTGGGTTTTCTCACACTGGATAAATCTGTTAATTACATTTAATTTTAAACCATATATTTCATGAAAGGGTGGTGTTGTTTCCTAGTGGGTGTTTGTTACCCTGTGCAGTCTTCCCAACAAACTGGGATGAGAAAGGCAGTACAAGGTTGGGGGTGCTTGCAACTTCTGGCCTTGGGGACAAGAAAACTTACCACCAAAATAACTCCCTGCTGTGCCCACAACTCATGTAAAATGGATGCAGTTTAATCCATGCAATCCTGGTCCCAACTACTTTGCTGCACAGTACTGTCAATTGACCACCCAGCACACCTTCCGTTTTTTGTATTCAATCCATGCAGGAATGGTGCTGAGGCTGCCAATCAAATCTCCTGTGTACTTGTAATTAGAAGTCCATTGTCTTGCTTCCCTCACCAGCCATCCTCTGATACAGAACATTCTTTTTGTTGCGTAACTTTCATTTGGTCTCCCAAGGGAGCGTCAGCTGGCCTGGACACAACACTATGCAAAAAAGCAATAAGTGTGGTCAGATTAACAAAATTGTTAAATGCCAGCTAATGTGTATGCAACCTGGTCATATATGCAGCCTATAAGGATTAAGTTCTCCACAGGTGGATACAGGCAGCCCTATATATGCATAGTTAAAGTGGAATCAAAGTTCAATATGTGAGCTATTAGTTTACTTATTATATCAGGCAATTCTTATTTAAATGAATAACCGTAAACTTTCAGGCCAAAATAATCAGATGGCAAAGCAGACTTACATATATGGATATGAGGGAACAATATGTACAGTTAATGAGAATTGGGCGTTCAGATTTTTATTTTATTTTTTAGACCTTTTATAGGTAGGGTTTAATCTAACCGCTAACTATATTTCTCATAGGACCTGGTATTTTGTTCCTATGCCATATGAGGCATTTAAATGAAGTATAACAGCGTGCATAACATTACAGATATGTTTTTTTTTGTTTTATTTTAAATCTTTTCCATATAGGAACACAATAGTATGAACTTCACAGCTTGCAGTCCATAACTCCCTGTGGGAACTTAAATTCCTATTAATGGGTAGGTGCCTAGCAGGCCATATTGTGTTAATGAGCAAGTAGTCGGTCCTGGTTTGTGTATAATATAGTGCCTGGTTTAATTTTACAAACTGACCTATTTGTCAAGTGACATTTTTACATTCTAAAGTAGGCTAATCTCCCAAAACCACATTTCTTAGAGGTATTTTTGTTCATTTTCCTGATGTATGACAGTTTGTCACTTGCATATTTCCCTATATGACAACTGACTAAACCAGAGTTCAATTTTTTATTTTTTTTCTTCTAAAATTTCAGTTTTATAATGGACTATCTTATGGTTGGTTGAGATACATCAGTTTGTACAGCACACTATATTATGCACTGTGTACCCACCAGTTCTGTTTGTATGTGGGATGGATAGATCTAAATCAGGGGTCCTCAAACTCTGGCCCCCCAGATGTTGCTGAACTACAACTCCCATGATTCTCTGGCTATCTGTGTAATTCAAAGAATCATGGGAGTTGTAGTTCAGCAACATTTGGGGGGCTGGAGTTTGAGGACCCCTGATCTAGATAATCATAACCACTACATCCTGCTGTAGTGGTTATGGTGCCAGGACTACCCTGGTGTCGTCATAATGTAATTGTTCATATGGTTTTAGAACAGTTTAAACATAACTAGGTCCCACCAGGTACCTGCTTCTGGTTTCTCCTTGCAGGCTGTGATTTAGCTCTGAAAACACCTGGTATCTCCTGCAGGAGAAGACTCTGGTGTCTGGGGGACACATGGAAATTGTCAAATCATGGTGCCTTCCACTGGGAGGGTACCAAAGCACGCTTGGCTCCATAATGATTAAATCGGGCTGCCCAGGGTATGGTGTTTAGTGTGCCAGTTTTTAAATATTCAATCAATGAATGTGAAAGTGTCTCTTTTCCTGGAAGCCAAGTAGGTAAAACATCCCTTTCGGTCCAGGATCGTGAGGGAGCACACACAGGCATCAGTACCAGCCCGCGGTGGATACTGTAAGCCAGGGCCTGACTGGGAACAAACCGTTCAGCAAAAAGGTTTTTATACCTGCCTTATTCATTATGACAATGTAATTCAAAGTTATAAGTGGGGAAAATATTTAACATTTAAGATTCTCTCAGAAAGGGCAAAACAAACTAAAACTGTGAGACAGGTGGGTTATTCACTAAGAATTTTTGTGAATGAAAATCTGAATTGTAAAGTTTGTTAAAATAGTCAATCTGTCACTATCTCGAAGTTGGCTAATGTCTCCAAATCTGATAACTTGACCTAAATTATACAATTTGGATTTGTACTTTATACAACTCCGTTTAGTGAGGAAATGGAAGCCTTTCATACATTTTTAAATTTGTGTATGCGATTTCTGAGTGTTTAAGGCATATACATGTCTTGTGTGCCTTATGCCATTTGTATATATTATAAGCATATTTTATACAATTATGCTTTGTACATACACATTTATTAAAATAAATGCAAATAGGTCTACATGCATATTACTCTCAGAAATCACATAAATTAAAACCAATATAATTTTTAATTGACATTTTTCATTTTAAGGCACATATACCTATTATCTCATGATCTGAATGCACACACACTGACATGCCGTTTTCCTGGCAGACGCACTGATCTGTAATCACATGGGCACACGCTCACTGACACTCATTAACACACTACATCAGGGCTCCCCAAAAGGTAGATCCTCAGATATTGTAGAACTACAGATCACATGACCTGTCATTCTAAAGGCTTGCAAGGCATCATGGGAGGGATAGTTTTACAACATACAGGCAGGGCCGGCCTTACGGGTGTGCGAGCTGTGCGGCCGCACAGGGCACGCCCTGCGGCCGACACAGCTCACACATTACTGGCTATCCGGATGGAGGATTTCATTATTCTCCACCCGGGATAAAAAAAAGAAAAATCATTGCGGCAGGGCCAGGGCATCTCCCTAGCACTCTAAGAGTGTGGGGGCAGGGAATATACAACAAAATAAATAGCTGACAGCAGCGGCCTATCTGGAAACAGTCCGGGGGCACAGGCTTTTCTTTACTCTTTCTTTCAAAATAGCGTGTTAGAAGAAGTCATTATATTTCATTTTAACATGAGGGTGGTGTACAAATTAAAACATTTTAGGTGAAGTTTTGAAATTAGTAGAGTTAGAGAAGCTTTATTGGAGGAGCACAGTTTCTGACATAAAAAAGAACACTTTTGGGGGGTGAATGAAACTAACACTTTTTGTATTAAAATATATTTCCGTCCAAATCTTTTTGACAAGAAATTCGTTTTAGCACTAATTATTAGTGTTAAATGTAAAGATTTGCAATACTTATCCTAGATTTTTGCCTTTGTTAGTGCAAATATGTAAAAGCTCTAACCAAGTTTGAATTCAATACCCGCTCTGCACTACTTGGAACTTAAAGTACAGTGGGATTGAAATTGTATTACATCATTACACCTGATGATAGAAGTAATATTAGCCTATCTTACTGTAAACAGTCATCTACTTGACCCATTGGTTGGATGACCAATACGTTTGCAAATTTTAGGTAAAACGTTTCATCTTAACCCCTTAAGGACCAAACTTCTGGAATAAAAGGGAATCATGACATGTCACACATGTCATGTGTCCTTAAGGGGTTAAATGTACAATCTCCCATTTGGTTAGAAGTCATTGGATGCATTTAATAGAATTCAACAGTGTAGCAGGATTTACACAACAACTACTTGATCAGTTTTGCTGCATATCAAATGCGTCTGAATAAGAATTTTATTTGAGGGAATCACACATGGCTTTCAATTTGCGCATTCTGTTTTTAATTTCCTTGCAGATATAAGTGAAATAAGCTTTTATTATATTTTATTCCACATAATTTATTGATGTATGTGTTTCTGTAATTAATGGTTTTCAGCAATGTGGGAATAAATAGCCTGGAAGAGCATGCTACCCGAATCTAACATTACGAAGGAGCAGATTGAAGCTATGTTTTAAGATGAAAGTGGCAGGAGTTAGAGGTTGACTGTATGAGAGGAGCAAGGGGGAGGATGGAGTCAAAATGCCAAGACAAAGTATTATTAAATGGAAATGATGGTAGCATTGCTGACTTGGAGGATTACATAGTTGTCAAAGTGAACCTCAAAACACAGAAACAAGTTCTGCCGTACCCTCAGTTGGCACCAGCATTAAGTACATGATAATGGGCAGGTTAGTTTGCTGTGAATCTAAGAAATAAAATTGTCATCCCGCTATAAAATTTGGAGGATATTGTTTGATGATTAAATTAGATGATTACAATACAATCTTCATGAATCTTTGTTGCACTATCCTTCTGCATTTATTAATCAAGTGATCCCCCAGTGGTGATTTTCTGTGGCATAAAACAAAATGTTTCTTGGACAGTTGGGGACATGGGTTAATATGGGTTCATATATATGACTAAATAGATATGTAGAAAGCAAATTGCGATAACCTAAGTTACAAGTTTACCTGGTAAGTTGGAGGAGAGATTCCTGGCGCAATGGTACACCAGAGAGAAGCCAGTAGGAAAAAACAAAAAATCAGAGTTGCAAAATCGAGGGTAAAATAGCCAAACTGTGACTATGACTGTGTTAAGAGAATTTCTCCAAATCGGCTATAGTGTATGATGATCAGTATTTCATGTTTTGAAATTAGTAGAGAAGCATAATTGGAGGAGCACAGTTTCTGACATAAAAAAGGAGAACATTTTTGGGAGGTGTATGAAACTAACACATATTTTGTATTGAATAACTTTGTATAAAGTTCAAAATATTAACATATAGTTGGGATCAATGCAGGAATACACACACACACACACACACAAACATTAACACACGCGCACACGTTACACATTTTGTGAACCTTACACAGGTGTTTTTAATTGTGTATTTTAGAATTCCACCTCTTCATATAAGTTAAAGCACAAATTGTGTGTCTGCTCACGTCCACTGCCATCTATAGCATTTCATTTCACCTTAAGATCACAGTTAAATAGATTCAGGTGATAATACTAAACAATACCAGGACACTATACAATACCAGGCATTATAATCAGTCATCGTGTTTCCAACATGTGTCCCTAAGGGACCTTGTGCATTAATGACAGAAGAATGCTGTACAGAGCGAGATTGTGGGAACTATTCTAACACACATCTTGTCCATTTGCTTCCTGCATTTCTGCTGTTTAAAAATAGCTAATACATGGGATTAATAATGACCCATCACTTTTTACATGTTTATTTTACAACATGCAGGGTTTATTATGTACATTTTTGGTTGTTACAGTATGAGACTGGATATATGTAACAATCACTTGATCCAAGTCACATTAACATTCAAATATATTTGGGTTTTTTTGGAAAAAGAGGTCATGTATCATCTAAATAGACCACTTGCAAGCCACAAACACAGATTTATGTATTTATTAAATGTATCAACTGTTTCACTACCAAGATCTGTATTAAAAAAAATCAACATAGCATTTATCTCGAATATGGGATGCATAGCACATACATACAACAAAAATGTTTTCATCATTTTTTTTTTTTTTTTACAGGAATATCATAAAACAATGTAAATTTTTCTAGGCATTACACAGTATCTCTCATGTTACCTCAGAGTCCCAAAAATTAGTGCACAAGGAAATAATACATGGAATATTATAAAATGTACTATAAACAGCAGATGTACAAGGTAAATATTTAATAATATAAAATTTACTATGAACGGCATATGGTAAAGCAGAAATTATATAAAACTAGTCACATATCCTGCTATGATGGTATTTTGGGGACAGAGTTTTCTAGAAAAACAGCCAACAACATGAGTGTGCACGTTGCGTTGCATATGGTCACAATAATTACACACAGTAACTACAGCTGTGCGGCTAAAACCAGGTATCTGTATTAAATAGGGTCGTGAAATGGGCCCTAAACACTCTCAATTACCCTACTCTTACCTTTTGTGTCACATAATACAACTCCATCTAGCATGCAAGCTCATTGAGCAGGGCCCTAAATCCCTCTGTTCCTGTGCGTCCAACTCGTCTGGTTACAAATACTTGTCTGTTAGTCCACTTTATTACTATTGTGGTATTGGTATTATAGATTGGGTATGCACTACTTTATGCACTTTCTTTCTGTCATTATTAATTGATGTATTTTTTCAATGCATGAATAAACTTTTTTTTATGTGCAAACTTTGGTGTGCTTTGGGATCATTATTATATTTATTGTACATATATATCCGGTGTGGGAACAGATTTTTTTCCTTAACCCCTTAACGACCAAACTTCTGGAATAAAAGGGAATCATGACATGTCAGACGTCATGTGTCCTTAAGGGGTTAAAGAGCACCCAGTACATTTTGTACCACATTACTTCTCACCCACTTTCAGTTGAGCTTTTCTTATAATTATATATTCGAAGTGGGCCACAGGGGCCAAGGGAGATAACTGACCTATTAGCTTGGAAGGACTGGCAAAGAGATTTGGGCTGCGGCCTCAAACAATTATTCAAAAAAATAAAATAACAGAGATGTGTTGGGATATCTGTTTTACATAGTTTTGTAGGGGAAGCAGCAGGCCTTTGCTATTCGGCACTGTGTGGGTTTATGCGTGAGAGCATGTGGCCTAGTCTGTCAGTACTCTAAAGGCCTAGACGAGTCCATTGCTATATTTCCATATGGACAGCTATACCTGAGACTGACAAGTCTAACACACTACAATGTGTGTGTGTGTGTGTGTGTGTCTGTCAGTGATTGTCTGTGTGTGTGTCTGTCATTGAGTGAGTGTATGTCTGTCAGTGAATGTATGTGTGTGTGAGTGTATGTCTGTCAGTAAGTGTGTGTGTCTGTCAGTGAGTGTGTGTGTGTATGTCAGTGAGTGTCTGTGTGTGTGTGTGTGTGTGTGCATGTCTGTCAGTGAGTGAGTGTCTGTCAGTGAGTGTGTGTGTGTTTGTGTGAGTGTATGTCTGTCAGTAAGTGTGTGTGTCTGTCAGTAAAAGTGTGTGTGTGTGCGTGTATGTTTGTCAGTAAGTGTGTGTATGTCTGTCAGTGAGTGAGTGTATGTCTGTCAGTGAGTGTCTGTGTGTGTGCGTGTCTGTCAGTGAGTGAATGTATGTCAGTGAGTGTCTGTCAGTGAGTGAGTGTCTGTGTGTGTGTGTGTCTGTCAGTGAGTGTATGTGTGCCTGTCAGTGAGTGTGTGACATGAAGGCGCGGCAAATTAGTTTTTTCATACCCACAAGGCTACTCGTTGACAGTCCTCATCTGCCTGTAATTTAATTTGTGTGCATTTGTTTCTGCTTTGAAGGCTGTTCATAATGTAAATCTGACAGAAGCATTTAATGACAACCATAAACACTTCAGTGACAATGAGGTAATGTGACCAGTTTAGGAAAGAGATCTCAGAGATAAATATAATGGGATCTTAATTGGTTACACTCTCTAAAGCTGGCTACAAACAGCTTAACTGTTATGCCAATAAATATAAGTATTCCAACACATTTAAGTAAAGCATGTATTAAACATAGTTACTTTCTCCTTTGCGCAGTGGCCATTGTTTCATTGTGTGACAGTCCTGCTTAAACACTTTGGAACGCAGCATGTTGTATAAATATTTTCTGCATAATTACACCCCAGGGAATAGCCCTTCATCAAATAGTTATTTTGGATCTTATACTGATATTACTGGAACACTTACATTTCCATCTGTGTTGAACTGGATGAACGCCAGGCATTTTTGTTGTATTTTACACAAAAGAGGGGCGGATATGTGAAATAAATAGTATAATACACAACTGCTTCAATTCAAAAACATTGAATAGGGATTCAAGTCAAGTATCAAACTGCCTAGGTATTTATATTGGTTTAAGATTGCATTTTTGTTTTTTTCCCCACTCCCAATAACATGAAACTATGAAGTGTCTCTTTGACGTATTCAATAAAAACTCAAAAACAACAAGTCAGATTTGACAAAATGTAATACTTTACCATCTGCTCGAGAATTGTGAAAAATGTATTCCCAAACATTTGGTGTGTTAAGATGAGCCAACACTGCTTGATGGCAATGTCAACTTGGATGGTGCCTACAACGATTTTACTCTACATATACCATGACGGAGGGTAGATTTTAATCACTGTAACAAGCTAGCTCATTCCTAAAATACTTTCGAGAATGCTTCTAAACGAGCACCTTGTCCATTCTTGGTGAGTGTTTTAGATACTCTTAAGGTTTCTCTATCTATAGAACAGCAGTGCCCCATTAATGTGCTATGTGAGAGATCGAAATGTAGGTTTCTGAGAGATGGCAATGTTTACCAAAACACGACACATGCCACTTAAGCCGTTTACTCCATAAAATCCTTTGATTTACAAAGGTTTTCATGTTCTGCATCCCCACTCACAGCTTCATGGCACCACACATGGTCAAGGCCTTTCGTAGAGAAGAGATTCACTGGATTGATGGGTCGTGGTGATTGCTTGGCATACCATATGTCCTTAATGCTTCTCAATAAGAATCATCTGATTGGACAGATATCATCATAATTGACGTTCACAGCATAGGAGGGTTCAGACTGTAGAGAAGATACTGTCCTGCAAATGGATTGTATGTGAGTTTATTAGTTCTTTCATTTTTTTTAATTTATATGTTATTATTATTTTTTTATTTTTTTTTATTTTTTTAGAAAGGAGGTTCAGTGATTTAAATAAATAAACTAAATTACTTTAACTTGTTACATGACATGCATTGGAAGCAGGCCCGGACTGGCCATCGGGCACACCGGGCAAATGCCCGGTGGGCCGCGGTGGCCATGGGCCGAGGCCGGCAGGGGAGATCACAGGATCTCCCCTGCCGGTCTATGCAGGGCCGGCACTCTCCTAGCGCCGGCCCCGCTGTTTGTCACGACGGGCCGGTGGGGAGATCAAAGATCTCCCTCACCGGCCCACATGCGGCTGCCGGCGGGGAGGGAGGGAGACAGCCAGCCAGGCTGGAGAGAGGACCCGGCGGAGCACTAACTTGCAGCTCCGCCGGGTTCCTCTCGCGAGATCCGGCGCGTTGCCATGGCAACGACCGGATCTCGCGAGAGTGAACTCTAGCCTCACAGGCTAGAGTTCACTCACCCACGAGGACCACCAGGGAACACCGCGTGCCGGACCCCCCCTCCCAGTCCCAGCGTGCCGGACCCCCCCTCCCAGTCCCAGCGTGCCGGTCCCCCCCCCTCCCAGGCTAAAGGTAAGAAGGGAGGGGGGGAAATAATGACTTTTTTTTATTTTTATTTTATTTACCCCCCCCTACACACACACACAATAACATTTATACAGCACTCTCACACCCATCACACACAGCACTCTCTCCCACATCACACACAGCACTCTCTCCCACATCACACACAGCACTCTCTCACACAGCACTCTCTCACACAGCACTCTCTCACACAGCACTCTCACCCATCACACACAGCACTCTCACCCATCACACACAGCACTCTCACACACATTACACACAGCACTCTCACACACAGCACTCTCACCCCTCACACACAGCACTCTCACACACATTACACACAGCACTCTCACACACATTACACACAGCACTCTCTCACACAGCACTCTCACACCCATCACACACAGCAATCTCACACCCATCACTCACACCCAGCACTCTCTTACCCATCACACACAGCACTCTCACACCCAGCACTCTCACACCATCACACACGGCGCACTCTCACAGAGCACTCACACACACACAGCACTCTCACACCCATCACACACAGCACTTTCACACACACACAGCACTCTCTCACAGCACTCTCACAGAGCACT